GGAGGCTAATCAAGGTTCCCAAAATCTTATCAGGCCGGTACCCTAGTTTGTGTTATGGTTATTCACTGGTTAACATTCATATGCACCTAAATATGCTTACCAGACATGGTATCTGCAAATCGGGTTGTCAAACTGGGCATTAGTTTCTGCAGCATCCAGATGTTGAATAACTGACTGACAAAGATTGTGGAAGGCCATATCAATATTTTCAGGGCAATAGTTTCTAAGTAATGATGAGCAGGTCAGCTGTCAAAATAGATAAGAATATCACTCTTGGAACTGTGTGTCAAGCATGCAATATTTTGATATTTCAAAGGTAATTAAAAAGTAATGACTATTCTATAAATACTAGAGGAAGAAATTCGAAACACCTTAGTTTAAACATGTTAAAGAAATATATGAATATGTTTTCTGACTCAAATCTATGTATAAACTGGGAGCCATTAGGAAGTTTATTATCCTTGGAACCCCACTCACCAAAAGGAAGGAAAGAGGCTCCAGTAAGAAAACTCCTATGGTGCATCAGGTAGGCAAGACTCTCTTAAGACATAGTCCAAGTTTTATTCAAGGCAAAAAAAAAAAAAATGTTATGTTGACTGATCCTAGATCAGGATCAAAAATATAGGCAATCTCATGGCACTCGTTGTTTACTAAAAGAGTATCTGGAAACATGAATGTATGCTCAACTTCGGTCCTACATGTGTTATTTTAGGTTCTGACCTCAAGCTCCTTGAGGTTTTGTTAGTTACTCTGACCACATCCCGCCAACATGTCTCAGAAACAGTGCTAGTATTGCTTCATCAGAGTATCCAAGTCCATTCCAGTACTTCAGCCAAACATGACCTCACCATGGAGATGAAACCATGGCTACTGGGATTCTCAACATTCTTTCAAGAATGGCTCACTTGAGACTCATCATTTCCTGCTGAAATGAAGGTCTTTAAGGCTGTGTAATCCAAGGATTGAAGATAAAAAATGGAAAGCTAGTAGCCTCTTAGACAAATCATAATGACAAAATGGTGAGTAAGTTTAACTGGAATCCTCAAGAGCCCAGAATTTATCTCTTTGACTAGATAAGGGCCTGTCAATCACCAAGGGGCACCATTCAGCCATATGTCTACTCAGTGGTAACTTCTACATGAGGCCCATGAGAAAACTGAATTATGGCAGCTTCACCTCTAAACTCCATGGGGATAGAATCCTCTTTGACTGGCCCTCCCTGGTGGTGCAACAAGTTAAAGAGAGCACTATGAAGCTAACCACAGACACTTCAACTGTGGAAGGAAACCCACATGGCATGGCAGACCACTCCTGAACTGCCTACTGCTCCCCTCAGCAGTGAATTTCAGTTAATCTTTCTATTCTGTTCTCCACTCTGTCTCTGGTGAATCCTCTCATCCCCCACCCCCCCACCCACACACACACCTCTGGCCTGTACCCCAGTCCTTGTATGCATAAATAAATCTTAAAAAAATAAAATGATCCTCTTGTCAAATTGGTCTCAGAAACACCAATGAATAATCCAGCAATAACCACCTATTTGATATATTGGGGTAACTGGTGAAAACCTGGGTATAAACACAGTCTGAAAGCTTGTCAGTGGACCAACAAGGGAAGATCACCTCTCTTTGCTGCAACTTCACTCACCTAATGGATGAGGAAAAGCTCTGGTTGGCTCTGTCATAATTCCTTGTGGGTATGAGGTACACTCAATGCCTATTCAATTGGTATTTAAGGACCCCCAAATGCATAAATCCTTTCTGGTACTCAGAACACTACCAGAGGTTAGTGTTCTCAGTGGCTGTTATCTCTGAGAGAGACATCTACTCACCAGAGTCATGAAGGCAAATCCAAAACATCCCTAGAAGGTTTCACTGAAAGAAGTGAAGAGAGGGAAAAGGTTACAATATGGCCTACAATGAAGTAACATGGATCATCATGACAGACCTAAACATGATTATGTCATGGCCATATGCTAGCCAGAGACTTGCAAGATTCCCTTTTGATATGGTTGCCTCAAACCCATGGACCCATGACTCCAGGAGACCAATCAGAATCCTTGACATCCTATTCTAGGTTAGTTCCCTATGTGGGCCTCAGAGTAATCCTATTGAGAATGACTTTTTTTTAAAAGATTTATTTATTTATTCATTCATACAGAACTGGGGTACAAGCCAGAGATGCGGAGGGTGAGAAGATTCACCAGAGACAGAATGGGGAGCAGAACAGGCAGATCGACGAAGTACACTGCTGAGGGGAGCAGTGGGCAGGTCAGGAGAGGCCTGCCACACCATGTGGTCACCTCCAGGGCAGGCGGGGATCGAACTCACGCAGAAGTGGCTTTAGCTTCTTAGTGCTGTGCTTTTAACCCACTGCGCCACCAGGGAGGGCCCTGAGCATGACTTTTAAGTCATCAACTCTCTTCATGATTGTATAAGTTCTTACCAACCCAACACTGGCTTCTTGCTTATCACTATCCCTTTGAACTGATATATGCTTACCACACACAGTTTCTGCATATCAGGATACCAAGGCAAAAGTGAGTTTCTGTATCTTCCAGGTGATGGACAGCTGACAGACAAGCATTGCCAGTGGCCAATTTGATTTTTTTGTGACAGCGGTGTTTAAATGGAGAGGAGAACAGTCAAAATGGACTGCAAGTTTATTCCAGGAATTGTGCCTCAAACTAACAAGTTTTGAATGCTTCAAAAAATGAGAAACTGGTGACCACACATAAATACATAAATAAAAAATACATAGACCTTGAACACATTAGTAAAGAAAGATATGTGTGAATATGATTACTTGCTCAAATCTTGAGTCAATTAAGAGATTTTAGAAGTGTGGGCTTCTTGATATCCCACCCAGAGGAAGAGAGAGTACATGATTTCTCCACTGGGAAATTCATGATGTGTTGGCAGATACAACATCCTCTAGGACACATTCCTTGTTTATCTGGGGGTGGGGAAGAGTGCTATCTGGGACACTGGACTAACCTTAAGGAAAGGAGCATGTCTACAATTACATGAGGAAGTCTCATTGTTTACTAATTGAAATTGATATCTGGAAACCTGAAGATTTTTTTTTTACTTTCAGCCCTGTAGGCAAAAGTGTGTTTCAGGTCCCAACCATAAACCCCTCTTGACTGTGTCCAGGATCTCATATTCTTGCTCTGTTAATATTTTGCCAATGTGCCTCAAGTAAAAATGCTAACATTTCTTCACAGGGATTTCCACATTCACTCTTCTACTTCAGCCAAACATGACCTAACGATGGAGATGAAATCATGGCTACTGGGGTTCTCAACATTCTTTTGAATATGGCTCATTCTTTTTGAATATGGTCTTTCCTGCTGAGGATGCCATCCTTTAAGGCAGTCTCACCCAGGAAGGAGGATTGCAAGTGGTAGGCCAGTGATCCAATCTGGTAAAGCTACACAGATCAAGAACCACTGGCTTCACCAAGAGTCCATAATTCATTTCCTTGACATGTGAATTCCCAAAGAATGCTATTTAGATATCTTACTACTCAGTGGTATCTTCCACATCAGGCCCATGGAACAAGTAAATTAAACACCAAGGGCATTTATTAAAGATTTATTTATTTATTCAGAGCCACAAAGGATTTCCTCAATCAGTTCTTTCTCTCAAAAAAATGCATCTCAACAGAAGGAAAATACATCCTGAATCCAGTGTTGTATGTGATCTTTAAATATGATAAAAACACTTACCTGTGATAAGTGAGGTCACAGCAAAATCTTCAAAAGAACATCTCACTGAGAAATTGATAGACAAAAGAAGAATAAAAGACTTAAGGATTGGATCTGATGGTGGACTGATTTGAGAACATACAGGTTAGGAGAACATGCCTAAATCCTCAGCATATATTGACATGTGACCACTCATAAACCAGGTAGAGCCACATAATACTCAAGCAATTGAGTACTCAAGCAATTGTCTGCCTCCTGTCACAAAGACCACTGATCAAGGAGGTAAACAGTGATCCGCAACATAATGCCAAGGATCAGGTAAATTTAAATGGGCCTCAGATGGGTCCTACAAGATTTTTATTTGGCCATCACAGCTCCTCAGCCATTTTTTCTCTTCATTGACCCAAGCAAGCGGTCTGAGCATCTCAATATGATCCCCATGAAATATACATACCATAGCTGATTCTAGAAATGCAGACCAAGGAGAGCTGAATTTCTGTGTCTTTGCTGCAGGATACTTGTTTTCCCCCTCTCCTGGTCAGCAGCACCAAAGGAGATCTTTAGAGCCACAGTACCTTGGTAGAGATCAGGAAGAAAGCTGTCAGGATACTTACTCAATCACTTGAGAAGTGTGCCACAAGTGAACTCCTACCGCTATAAATTCTGTTCAATAAATGTAAATAATAAGAATTAATACACATCACAATGACATATAACCCCTAAAGAAATACAAATACATTTTTCCAATTAATCAATCATTAAGGGTCCATAATAGGAAGCCAAGCACTCTTAATTTCCCCTTTTCAGTAGCCTAGCACATAGACACATTTTTCCTCATAATGTGCCAAATAAAGCACTTACCAGCAAGCCCTGAGTCTCATTTCTTGTTTATGTGCACAAAATTTAACAATTAGAATACCAGATGAGGCTTAACTTTCATGTGTACCCCCAAAAAAATGATCTTAGAATTACTCTTTAGAAAACTGATATCATAAAACAAGAATTTGTGCTTAATTCCACTCAAGCATGCAATCCCTTGCATGGTCAATTATAGCACTGGTTACCAAAACTAATTTCTTTTTTTTAAAGTCTCTCACAAATCCTGAAGACATATAGCAATCAGACCCACAAATATTCCATTATTGGGATGTTTCTATTCCCATACCTCAGGCAAAAGTGACCTATCAATGGAGATCAAATCAGGGATGGGAGGACATTTAACACAGTTTCTATGTGGTTAATCCAAATGTGGCATTTCAACTTACCATCATTCAAGGTCCTGTTATGAGAACAAAAATTGTGATGCAATTGGTCTGACTTGCAGCATAGCATATCAAAGAACAGTCAGGATTAAAGCACAAAACCTAGATTAGAAGAATCAATCAATTGACATGCTATAGTTGAACAAATCTGGAAGGTCTACAATTCATATAGTTAACATTATTTCCATGAAATCCAGAATAGTAGACTCTCTAGATATCATGGAAATGATGTTAACTACACGAATTCTTTCTAGGACACTGATGCAGAACACAAAAGTTACATATGTTAACTACATTTGACTTACTGGACTCCAACTTTTTTTTCACTCAAGTGTGTATATAGCATGGGGGAAGGAGAGCAATAAATATTTCCTTCCCTTACATTGTGATTACTACATAAGCTATCGGATATGGCATGGCTGTTCAAGTTTCAATATGAAATAGCAGATATTTATGACAAATCACCATGGGTAGAATTGAAATTACAAAAGATAAAATTACTTGTTGTCTTAACATTGGTCTTGCCCAGGGATCATGTGACTCTGGTCTCTATCTACAAGGGCAGAAATGCACTCACCTCAGATGACTGGGTACATGGGGAAACCCTCCAGAGAACATCACACTGCAAAACACAAACAAGGAAACCAAGTTAAGGAACAGACATTAATAGGGCCTCTAATAATCATGTATGGCTTAAGAACACAAGCCAAACCATGAAAAGGTCTGCATGGGAATTCTACGGCCAGGCAGAGCCCACATAGGATTTCCTCAATCAGTTGTTTACTTCAAACAAATACCATTTCAGCACAAGGAAAATGTTACTCAATGATTCTGCTTCAGGAGCGTAATCTATTGGGCCTCAGATGACACCTGCAAGAGATTTTTGGTCACCATCTCTCTTAAGCCATTAAGAGTTCTCGTCATTGACCCAAATAAAACATTCTATAGGTTTCTATAAACTTGCACCTAAATATGCTTACCGCAGAAGGATTCTGAAGAATAGAACACAGGTGTATGTGAATCCAGCATCTTAATTGCTGGAAGATGGTGAAGCAAAATTTGCCCAGGATCAGCACGCACATTTGGTATTTCAGGGTGACAGTTCTAGGTAGAATGCAGATGGACAACTGTCAAAAAAGCTACTTCTGGAGTTGTGCCTTTAGCATGAAACTCCATTACATTTCCATTAAGCATTAAAGGTAAATATATTAAAATGAATGAACACAGAAATGACTACAAATGTGTTTCAATGAATGAAGGCCTATGTAGTACATATGTATGCTCTATCAGGGCCTCCAATAAGAATATAGGACAAAAAACAATTGACTAAATCAGTAGCCATTGAAAGCTAAAATTCCTTCAAGCCTATCAAGGAAAGTTCGTAAGAGAGTATTTTTCAGCTGTGACATATAAGCAGTCTTCCCAGAAGATAAGAACTAATTTGGGGATCAAATAGACAAACTTGGGTCCACTCCACAGACTGATATCACCAAAGCGCAGGAGAATTGAAAGCAAAAACAAATAGTGAAGTCTTAGGAATCCAGACATAGCTTTTGGCTACTTGATTAAAATGGCTCAACAAGATTTTTGAAGAAATATTCATGCAAAGACTGTTTCATCCTCACCTTCTGCACAAAAGGGACTTAGGCATTCTCTATCAAAATTTACTCTGAGACATCAGTACCTATCATAACAGTTTTCTATTCTCAAGACTACTCACAATATGGTACTCAATTTGTTATCCACACACAGACTCCATATTCACAGGGCAGGCAGAGAACTAAAAACTACTGACTTTACAGCCTACTCTACTTTAGTATTCAGAATACATTCTCTCTGCCCATAGCTCCTAGCTTGTATTTATTACTCAACAATAAATCAAACCCACATGTGTATTTCAGAGCCAAAGTAGTGGGGAATATGTTTACTGACATAAGGCTGGCCTCCCCCCTATATTCAATCCTGTGTGATATTTCTATAATGGCAAACACATGCTCACCTGGCATAAATGCAGCCACAGCAAAACATTCAAGGAACTGAAAGATAGACAGACACACAGGAAGGGTAAAAGAGTTAAGGCATGGCTTTATGGCGGTCTGCTTTAAGAACATAGAGTTGAAAAACAAGCCTAAAACCTGTGCATATCTTGACATAGGCCAAACAAAGTCCCTTAGAACAACACAAGACATGTTCAAACAGTGGTCTGCCTTCAACTCCAAATCCCATTGATCAAGGGTGTAAACACAGGTGCTCAACACACCGCTAAGGATTAAACCAAACTGGGCCTCAGATGAGTCCTGCAAGAGTTTGATGTTTTTGCCATCACAGCTCCTCAGCCATTTTTTCTCATCATTGACCCAAGTAAGGTAGTCTGCACATCTCACAATTATTCCCTTCAAATATATTTACCATGGATCCTGGAAGTGAAGATAGAAAGACTTTGTATCTCAGCTGTTGAACACATGCTTGTTCTCTGTGTACCAGGACCAGCAGGTCAAAAAGAGATCTTTGGGATAACAGTTCCTTGGTAGAGATAAGGAAAACAGCTGTCAGACAATCTATTCAATCACTTGAGAATTGTGCCTCAAGCACAAACTCCTATAGAGATAAATTCTGTTCTGCAAATTGCGATGTAAATAGTAAGAATAAATGCATAATATAAAACATATACAGGAGAAAAATACAAAATTAATTTGGACAACAATCAGTTATTATGGATCCTTATAAGAGACCATGCACTCTTGGTTTCCTTTTGCTAATTATATATTATTTTAATGAGTACCACTGTCTTACCTCTTTGTGGTTATTCTCATAGTCCAGGATTTCCTCATCATTGCTCTCCCACCACCAAAACACCCATAGTCCTCCACCAGAGTTCAGTACACTCTCCACTGCATCCCTATTCTCACCACATCCCTCAGCTCCTGCTCGGGTTGCCTCAGGTCTATGGGTCAGATTTTATAGGTTTTACAGCTTGTCTTTGTCTGACCCTTTGATTGGTTTCTCTATATTCCACATATAAGTGACTCCATCTAGTATTTATGTCTCTACTTCTATGGATTTCCATTTTCACAGTGGCCAGGCTTCTTCAATCACAGAGTTCCCCCTCTCTAGGTGTCAGATAATGCATTTTTCAGTAATTCTGTAGTCTTGTTTCTTAGTTATACACCCAAAAGATAGTAGTGCTAACACTAGATGGAGTTTGAGCATTTTTGTTGGCCTATGGGTTATCTCAGCACTATCATCACTATAGCCTGAGTTAATCCCTGATCATGGAGTAGCAGACCCCTCCTGACCCACCCGTTGCTTCCCTCAGCAGTGTACTTCATCAATCTGCCTGTTGCTCCCCACTCTGTTTCTGGTGAGGGCTTTTACCACCACACCCACCCTTAGTCCTACAACTCTGACTTATACACAAGCTCTTCTACAAAGACAGGGTTTAATGCTCAAGGGTATAAGAAAAATGATCTTGGAATTGATTCAGAAATTGGTATCAGGGAATGGGAATATGTGCTCCCCTTCACACATACAGGCAACCTCCAGCATGACTAGTTTCATAACTGGTTCTCCACAATCAATTTATGTTTTGAAAAATCCCTCACAAATTCTGATAAACCATTCCAATCAGCAATGAAAACATTCCACAACTGGTATTAGTCTCTGCTCCCAATTGTAGGTAAAAGTGATATCACAGTGGAGATCATATCAGGGCTCTGAGGATTTGTAGTACAATTTTTATATAGTACATTCAAAGGTGACAATTCCTGCTTATGCTGCCTTATTTTAGATTGGGATGTAGCTGGCCTGACACAATGACTTTCTCATTTAAATACCAGTCAGGAATAACAGACATACCCAAGAGTATAGGATTCAATAAATTAAGACACTACGGGGGAACCTATCTCGAGGACCTGCCATTCCAGAGCCAAAGTACAAATGGCCCTCCAGCTAAGGACCATGAATGGAGAGGTTTCGTACTTTCTGAATATCATTGCCATGAGTCTTCACTATAAGAATTGTTTGAGACACTAATACAGACCACAGCAGTTACTATATGTTAAGTATGTTTGACTTCATTTGGTGTGAATGCAGCATAGGGGAATAGGCCAATAACTATTTCCTCCTCATACAAGTGATCACCATATAAGGTAGAGAATAAGGCTTAGATGTCCAGAGTTGCAATCTTGCATGGTGGACACTCATGAGAAATCACCACAGGTGGGACTGGAGTTCCAGAGTGTTGGGTGTGGTCTCGACCAATGATGTCAAGCAAACACTCACCTGTGATAATCGAGGCAACAGCAAATTCTTCAAAGAACATCTCACTGAAAAACAAATACACAAGAAGCATAAAAGAACTAAGAAATGGCTCTGATGATGGGCTTATTTGAGAACACACAGATTAGAAATCATGTGAATTTAATGGGTGAATCCACCCACCCTGTAAGTAGAGTCATACAAGGTATGCTCAGCAATTGTCTGCCCCAACCACAGTGTTTACTGGTCAAGAAGGCAAACCAAGTTCCTCAACTTAGTGTCAATGATCAGGACTTAATTGGGCCTCAGATGGGTCCTACAAGATTTTTATTTGGCCATCACAGCTCCTCAGCCATTTTTTCTCTTCATTGACCCAAGTAAACAGTCTTCACATCTCAATATGATTCCCATGAAATTTACATACCATAGCTGATTCTGGAAAAGCAGAGGCAAGGAAGGTTGAATTTCTGTGAATTGGTGGCAGGATACTTGATTGCTGTCTTTTGTACCAGTGTCAGAAAGACAGTAGAGATATTTAGGGAAAATAGTTCCTTAGTAGAGAGAAGAAATAAAGGTTTCAGGAAATCTCTCAATCACTTGAGAATTGTGCCTCAAGCACAAACTCCTATAGACATAAATACTATTTAATAAATATGTTGATATTGAGTAAGTACAACAATAACACATAAAGACTGAAGAAGCAAAATGCACTTAACATATATATCAATTTACCACTAAGGATCCAGATAGGAGGCCCAAAACTCCTGAACTCCTTTTTCAAAGAATTCCAGCACATAAACTTCGGAGTTTCCCCTTGGAGTGTGTCAGATAATACACTTCCCAGCAATTCCTTAGACTTATTTCTTGTCTATGCTCTAAATAAGGAGTAGTCAGAATACTAAATGGGACTTACTGCTCATGGGAATATGAAAAGTGATCTTGGATTAATTATTTAGCAAATTGATACCAGGAAACATGAATAAATGCTCACATCCTTTCATACAGGAAAATTATAGCATGACCCATTTCAGTATACACAAAGATCTGAGGATTTTTAATACAATTTCTTTTCTTTGCTTGAATAAGATTTAAAATTTATTATTTACTGAAGTACCATTGTCTAACATTCTTGCTAGTGATTTCGAGTACAAAATTTCTCTGTGAGGTGTAGTCACCTAAGGTATCCACTAATGAAGCACCCATATTTCTCTGAAATAGTCTAGTGTGCTCTCTCCCCACACTGATCTCACACCTCCCTCATCTGCTGGGTGTAAAACTTTCAAAAGTGGTGGATCTTTATCCAATTGTGAAGAACAACTGATCTGATTGTTGACATACTTCATCAAAGACAAATCAGAAATAATGGACATAACCTGGTGTACAGGACATTAGACTGACTGAATTCCAATCCACGTAGAGTCTTTGTCATTTGGGAAGCTGGTATTTCAAACAGTCCAACAACTAAGAACCATGACTGAATAAATCTCTTATTATCATCTTCTGGATGTCATGGACATATCCTCACTAAAAGAATTCATTCTAAGACAGTAACAGAGAACACAGAAATTATCATATCATAAATATGTTTGGCTCACTGTCCTCGACCTTTCAAAACTCAAGCATGACTAAACAAAGCAATAAGCATTTCCTACTTTACAGTGTGATCACTACGTAAGGTATAAGATAAATCTTGGCTGTCTATAGTGGAAATCCTACATGGCACACAATGATGAGAAAATCACCACAATGGCACTGACGTTCCCAATAGCCTTTCTAATTAACACTGGTTTCACATAAGAGTAGGCGATTCAGGTCTCACTCTAGAAGACAGATATTCACTCACCTCAGATGATTAAGCAGGTGGTGAAGCCCCCCACTTAACATGTCACTGGAAGACACAAAGAGAGAAACAGAACTAAGGGATGGAGCCTCCAACATGAAATATGGATTGAGAACACAAGCTACACCATGAGCAGTTCCTCACCATGGGAAGCCAATAGCTTGGCAGAATTCCCTCAAGCAATTGTTTATCCCAAACAAAATACAATCAGCACAAGGAAATTATATCTTAAACACTCTGCCACAGGAGAGTAGCCTATTGGGCCTCAGATGACACCTGTAAGAGATTTTTGGTCACCATCTCTCTTAAGCCATTAAGAGTTCTCATCATTGACCCAAATAAGATACTCTATAGGTTTTGATACAACAGCACCTAAATATGCTTACCACAGCTGTGGATTCTGCAGAATGAAATACAGGTATCTTTGAGTTTCTGTGTCTTCCTGTTGCTGGAAGTTACTGAAGCAAATTTTCCCAGGATCATGTCAAGGTGAGATTTTCTAGGTAGAATGAAGATGGATAGCTATCAAAAGATCCACTCAACCTCTCTGGAATTGTGTCTTCAAAATGTAAATTCATTATATTCGTATAACCAATTAAAGTAAAATATTAAGGGATAAATGAATGAATGAAGAAATAAATGAATGAATGAACACATAAATGAATGTATGAATATATTAGTGATTAAGGCATATATATGCATATATACAATATATACATACACATCTAAGAAAATGTCAAGGAGAGAAACAGAACTAAGAATCTGCCCCCAATGAGACCTCCTTCTTAAATTTATGGACTAAGAACAAATGACTAAGTTATGAGAGGATCTCATAACTCATAGCATCCATTTGTGTAATCATGCAATGATTACACAAATGGATGCTATACTTGCACCACTGTTCTCATTCTCATTCTAGAAAAGTCCATAGAAAGAATTTCAAAGCTTAATATCATTGTTTTTTTGAGTAGATGGACTTGATTAGGATAAAAGAGGACAAACTTGGGTCAATTACAGAGAATGAGTTACTTAGTAATAACTCACATCACTAAGATTCAAGGAGAATTGAATTGAAAGTGGTGAATATTTAAGAATGCCAAGAGTTTAAGAATTCCAAGAGTTGATTTTTGGCTATTGGAATGAACACTCAACAGGATCTTCTGAGAGAGACCTCGATGAAGTAAATTTCTCGTCCTCACCTCAGCTATTCCATACCATGGACATATATCTTTTACAAGAAACTGATTCTGAGGCACTAATATATTTCCCAGTAGCTACCTTCCCTCAAGCATACTTAGGTTATTGGCTTCATCACCTCAGTGTACACAATGGGTTCCCAGAGGAGAAATTACCTACATTTACAGAGTTTTCCACTTCATCATTAAGGAGGCACTCCCACTATCCATAATCTTGCATGCAGAGCTGACACTCAAAGAGAAATCAAACCCATATATATATATTGCACATATAAAATTGCTTACAATACACTTATTGAGCATATGCTGGACTACCCCTGGTATGTGATCTCTATCTAAGATGAGACAAACACTCACCTGTATAACTGTGACCACAGCAAAATCTTCAAAGATCATCTCTCTGAAAAATTGATAGACACACGAGATGGATAAAAGATCTAAGGGTTGGCTCTTGATGGAATGCTTTGAGAATACACAGATTACAAAATATGTCTAAACCCTGAGCATATCTTAACATGTGACTATTCACAGTCCAGGTAGCTCCACACAAGATGTGCTCAGGCAATTGTCTGCCCCAACCACAAAAGCACTTTGATCAAGGTGGCAAACAATGATCCTTAACATGCTGTAAAGATCAAGACATAATTGGGCCTCAGATGGGTCCTACAAGATTTTTATTTGGCCATCACAGCTCCTCAGCCATTTTTTCTCTTCATTGACCCAACTAAGATATGTCAATACTATTTTCATTAAGTAAACTTACCATAGCTGGTCTGTAAAAGCAGACCCAAGGAGGGTTGAATATATGTGTTTTCACTCTTGGACATATGACTGTCTTTGTGCCAGGGTCAGCAGAAGAAAAGGAATTCTTTAGGGGCAGCAGTTCTTTGATAGAGATGTAGAAGACAGCTGTCAGGAAATCTACTCAATCACTTGAGAACTTGTTCCTCTAGCATGAACTACTACAGATATATGTATACATTTAAGAAAGCATCAATGACAGAAACAGAATTAAGACATACACCTATAATGGCTTATTTCAAAAAATAAGGACAAAAACAAATGACTAAATTTTGAGTGGTCTTCATTATATGATCATAGTGGAGATAAAACTTTCTCCAACATTCTTGTCGTCATTCTCAAAAGTCTATTGAAGGTATTTACAGCTTGATGTCATTGCATCTTTCCTTGAGCAGAATAACTAATTGGGATAGACTGGATGAAATTGGATCCACTACATAGATTGAACTATTTAATAATAAATGGCATTATCAAGAACCCAGGAAAATTGAATTGAAATGGTGAATATTTGAGAATGCTAAGAGGTGACTTTTCGCCATTGGACTGAAAACTCAATAGGGTCTTCCAAGAGACATCCATGGACCAGATTAGCTCCTCTGTCTCACCCACACCCTCAAATTTTCTGCAAGTGGACAGGTATATTACTATCAAAACTGATTCTGAGACAACAATGCATTTAGCAGCACTTAACTTCCCTCATGCATATTAGTTACTGGACTCAACTTTTGGACACACACACCTCAGTGTAAATGGGTTCCCAGAGGAAAAAATTACCTATTTTTACAGTCTTCTCCACATCAGTACCAAGGATACACTTTTACCATCTTTAACTCTAGCATTCAGGGATTATTTTAAGGAGAAACCAATCCCATAGGTTTATTTCAGATACAAAGTGCTACACAATATACTTGTTGACCTAAGACTAGACTCCTAAACTCCATGCTGTGTCTGATCTCTATCTACAAGGAAAGAAAAACACTTACCTGTGATAACTGAGGCCACAGAAAACTCTTCAAAGTTCTCTCACTGAAAGATTGATAAACATAAGAATAAAAGATCTAAGAAAAAAGCTCTGATAGTGGAATGCTTTAACACAGAGATGACAGAAGATGCCTACACTCTGAGCATGTCCTTCCATGTCACCACCTGCAGTCCAGGTAGCTCTATACAAGATGTGCTCAAGCAGATGCCTGCCCCAAACACAAGGCACACTGGACAAGGAGGTAAACAGTGATCCTCAACATGTTGCCAAGGATCAGGACTTAACTGGGCCTCAGATGGGTCCTACAAGATTTTTATTTGGCCATCACAGCTCCTCAGCCATTTTTTCTCTTCATTGACCCAAGTAAACAGTCTGCACATCTCAATATGATTCCCATGAAATTTACATACCAAGCTGATTCTGGAGGTGCAGACTCCAGGAGGGTTGACATTCATGATTTTGTTGTTGGACATCTGATTGTCATCTTGGAGCAGAATCAGCAGAAAAAAAGGAGATCTATGGGGGCAACAACTCCTTGGGAGAGAAAGGAAGACAGCTGTCAGGAAATCTGCTAATTCCTTGAGAACTGTGCCCAAGCATAAACTCCTGCAGCCATACATTCTATTCATTAAATTAGTATATAAAGGAAGAATAAAGGCATATCAAGTCGTACATAAATGCTAACGAAATACAAAATATATCTAACATAGCTATCAGTTTATCACTAAGGTTCCATGTAGGAGACCAAAAACTCCTGCCTTCCCTTTTCAGAGAAGCCCAGCTCATAGGCTTCCCCACTCACACAGTTTCCCTCTGTAGGTGTCAGATAATGTACTTCCCAGCCTCTCCATGGGCTCATTTCCTGTCTATGCACTCAAAATGCAGCAGTTAGATACAAAGTAGGGCTTAATGATCATGGCACATGAAAAATGATCTTGGATAAACCACAGCAAACTGATATCAGGAATCTGTGTATATTCTATCCTCACTCATCAGGCAAACTGTATCATGGTCCATTTAATGCTAGGTTCCAAAACTCATTCTCTATACACAGTCTGATAGTGCTATCATTAGCCGCTGCCCCACCAGGGAGGCCCCATCAGGGCTCTGAGCATTCTTAAGCCTTTTTTTTTTCACTTGAATGATACTTAATTCTTACTTATTTATCATCTATTACGGAATCAATAGTTTATATCCTTGTTAATGCTTTGGAAATATAGTTATAGTCACCTATGGCACCCATCACCCAAGCAGTCATATTCCTCTACCTTATCTTAGTATGTTCCCCCTCTATACATTTCACACCTCTTAGTTACCCCTTTCATGCGGCATTCAAGTGTGGTAGTCCTTGCTTGGGGTACCATAATTTAAGGGTGTTGGTTATATTGCAAATAAACAAAAGTAGGTCCTACTGGTCTGGTTTGCTATGTACTAAATCAAAGACCAGTGAGAATACTGGATATAACCAAGTCTACCAAACTTTAAACTAAGAGGCATGCATGTATACATTTCTCAATATTATCTTCTAGATATCATGCTTAATTTCTCACTATCAGAATTGTTTCTGAAATATGAATGCAGAACATGATAATTGCCATATCATAAGTATGTCTGACTCATTGGCCTCCAATTTCACCACTAAAATGTCAATGCAACATGCGGGACCAGAACAAAATCCTTTCTCTTATAGTGTGATCACCACATAAGTGATAGGATGTAACTTGGCTGTCCAAAGTTGCAATCCCCATGGCAAAAACACTGATAACCACCACAGGTAGGACTGAAGTTCCCTATTGCCTTAACACTGGTCTCTCCCAGAGGTTATGTGATTCAAGTTTTTAGCTAAGAGGACAGATATGACGTCATTTAGATGATTAGTAGCATGATGAAACCTTTCACAGAATACTTCACTAAAAGGCACAAAGAGAAACAGAGCTAAAAGTGGATCCAAGAGGGCCTCCAAAGAGAGATTTGGGTTAAAACATGAAATACACTATGAGCAGGTCTTCATTAACCTGGCAGAGCCATACAGGATTTCCTTAACCAACTGTTTACTTCAAACAAAATATAATCTCAAGCATAAGGGAAATATAACTCAATGATCTTGCTGCAGGAGAGTAATCTATTGGGCCTCAGATGACACCTGCAAGAGATTTTTGGTCACCATCTCTCTTAAGCCATTTAGAGTTCTCATCATTGACCCAAAGAAGTTACTCTGTAGGTCTTGATATACTTGCATCTAGATATGCTTACCACAGCTGGATTCTGCAGAATGGGATACCGGTGTTTGTGTGGTTTTGTGTCTTCTTGTCACTACATGTTATTGAAGAAAATTTGCCCAGCATCAGCATGCAATTGGCTTTTCAAGTGACAGTTTTCAGGTAGAGTGAAGAAGGACATCTATCAAAAAAAAAAAAAAAAAAAACACACGATCTCTCTGATATTGTCCTAGCATTATAATCCCATTACCCATTTCCCCATTAAGATAAATATATAAAATAATAAATGAATGAAGAAATAAGTGAGTTAATACATATATGACTGTCTGAATATAGCAATGATTAATATACACATCAAGGAAAATATCAATGAGAGAAACAGAACTAAAAATTACCCGAATGGGATTTCCTTTACAAATTTATGGACAAAGAACAAATAATAAGGTATGTCAGTATCACATTATGTAATCACTCAATGGATATATACTTGCACCAACATTCTCATTATTATTTTAGAAAAATTCATGGAAAGAATTTCAAAGTTTGATGTCATTGTTTAAACATCTTCTCTTAAGTAGAGGTGCTCAACAGGGATATGAGAAGATGAACTTAGATCTACTACACAGATCAAACTACATAGCAATAACTAGCTGATCAAGAGCCCAGGAGAATTGGATTGAAATGATGAAGAATACAAATGATGAAGAATACAAGATGAATTTTGGCCACTGAAATGAATGATCATCCAAGAGACATCTGTGGAACAGATTATCTCCTGTGTCTCACACTCACCTTTACCCTCTGTGCACTGTGGACAAGTAGTTTCCTATTGAAAATGACTCTGAGTCACCAATACATTTCCTCAACCTTTGTACACACATACCTCAATGTACACAATAGATTCCCACAGGGGAAATTACCTATTTTTACAGTTTGCTCTACTCCATCATTAAGAATACAATTTCACTGTCCATAGCTCTAACTAGCAGAGATGACAGCCAAGGAGAAATATATATATATATATATATATGTATTCTTTAGATACCAAGTTGTTTATAACATAATTATTGAGCATAGGCTGGACACCCAAGCCCCAAGTTGTGTGTGATCTCTATCTATGATGGCAAACACTCACCTGTCATAATTGAAGTTACCACAGATCTTCAAAGGACATCTCACTGAAAAATAAACACACATGAAGAATGAAAGGCCTAAGGATTGGCTCTGATATTGAATCATTCTGAGAACACACAATTATGAAAATACACCTAAACTTTGAGCATATCTTGACATGTGCCCTTGCATAATCCAAGTGAGCCACACAAGATATGATCAAGTAATTTCTGTCTCTTGCCACAGATTCACTGGTCAAGGAGGCAAAAAATGATCTTTAACACACTACCAATGATCAGGACTTAATTGGGCCTCAGATGGGTCCTACAAGATTTTTATTTGGCCATCACAGCTCCTCAGCCATTTTTTCTCTTCATTGACCCAATAAGCAGTCTTCATATCTCATTATGATCCCCATGAGATATACATACCATAGCTCATTCTGGAAATGCAGATCCAAGGAGTGTTGAATTTCTGTGTTTGCTGTTGGACACGGAATGTCCACTTTGTAGCAGGATCAGCAGTAAAAGCAGTAAAAAAAAGCAGTAAAAGTACAGCTCCTTAGTAAAGAAAGGAAGACATCTGTCAGGAAATTTACTCAATTATTTGAAAATTGTGCTTCAAGTATGAACTCCTACATATATATTATGTTCAATTAATTAGTATGTAAATAGTTAGACTTAATGCATGCCACAATAGCACATACATGCTGATGAAAAAAAATACATTTAACACATCAATCAATCTATCACTAGGGATCAATGGA